CAAAAACAGCACCATATATAGAGGGAGGGAAGATAGATAGATAATAGATGATAGATAGATCAGCATCTTTTATATCGGTGAGTTGTTTTGATGGAATGGCTGATGTCCGTATTTATTGCTAATATCGGCCGATACCATGCATCCCTAATTACACATATATTACCTTACATCCTTAACAAAGTACAGTAAATACAGGCATCATTTTTAACTGAACTATCACCAATTTCTGATGCGATCCTCTCCAACTCTTGACGGTTCTTGAGGTACATCGGCCAAACGTATCCGTCAAAATATCCGGGAGGATCAGGAGGATTGTAAACCCTGGAACTGTCAAAAACAGATCAGTCTCCTCCAACGGCAAGAACCAAGAATAAAAATGTGTTCAGATATAAAACACAAGAGGTAAAACACCAAAAAGAAGAAGCCCCCCCATAAACAAGTACCTTCGTCTCCTCTTACAGACATTATAAGGTATTTCCAGAAAGTATCTTTTGTCAAACAGCTCATTTAGAGGCCTAAAATAATAAAATACAGAAAAAAGTAAAAGTTATGATTTGTTTTATACTTAAACATCAATTTGAGACAAAACTAACACACACACACAAAAACAGATAAATTCTCTCCAACGTTTGTTTTGTAGGTCTCGGCAGTAAGATTGTACGTTTTAACGTTTCTTGCCATGTACCTGTAGTTGAATACAAGGAAACCTTCCACTATCAGAACAAATATTTCTGTATTGTTGGACGAACACTTGATGTTCTGGCCTCGCTGCCTCAGGAACAAGGCTGGATCCGTCCGCCACGAGTCGACCTCACTCATCAGCTTCTCCATGTGAAGAGCATCGAGAGCTGAAACAGAACAAGATGAAATGTATTATAAGCACACATTTTAATTCATTCCAAGTTTAAAGTCTATATTTTATGTTTCCATGAGGTTTTTGTTTTTATAAACACAAATATCAGTTTCAGTATTATTTGGATTTAAAGATTACACCGAACATTTGAATATACTGTAAAAAAATTAAACTAAATATCCAACAATGTCATGCTTCAAGTACCTAAAATGTCTGAAATCCAAGCAAAAACACTACAAAATGCTTCAAGAATTCTGAGTTGTTTCTAATTAAATTGCAGCCATTTTGAGAGGGGATTTTTTTTTTTTACCATCAGAGTCAAAAAGTAGAAAAATATATCTCTAGATTAGCGTAAATGAGCCTAAATCTTGTCAAAATCTTCAAGCTGAACATCAGTTTAAGCGTACTTACTGTCGTATTGCTTGAAGCCGTTGCTGTCTACCGGTACAAAATAATCATCCTGAAGAAAATCAACATTTGCAAAACATTTTACCGACATCAGAAACCCTTTAGATGGCATTTTCATGTGACGGCTTCACAATCTACCTTAAAATAGGAGTCCTGTGCAATGATGCAGCTGGTGGGTATCAGCTGATGAAGACTCTGAGAAAGAGTAGTTTTCCCTCCATTGGTTACTCTGTCAAAAAAAAAAAAAAACATATGAGAAAATTAAATAAACTGTTCAAGAAGGTATAAAACAAACAACGGTATATGATGATAGCGTGAATGCAGCCATCAGTTTAATTGTTATTCTCATAAACTTCAATAATTTTGCTCTATTTTTGAGGGTTTTTTCCACCAGCACTTTCGCTCTGCAACATGTCTGCAGACTGAGTAATGTCAGAAAGAACCAAACGATTTGCCTTTTACTCTCAGGACTCCAAAGGGTAAACAAGTTCTTATCAGATTTTGTTGCCACATGGTTACCAAACAGTGCACCGACTGACCTGTTGTACCTGCTGGATTTAAATAAAAAAACAAACATGCATTTTAGGGAATTAAAAAAAAAAAAAAAGCAACACTATTTTCATATTTATTGTTTTCTATCCTTGCGTTTCTCAGTTGCATGGAAGCCCATTTCCGCCACCAAACAGCAGAAATCATTTTATAAAATAAAACCAGATTAATTCTGCTTCAAAGGGGACGCTGAAGTTGGCTTCTGATTGCGGTCAAGCCGCATCAACACGTTACAGATCAAATCTGACGCTAACTTCAGCGTGGTGTCCGTTAGCTAATGTAAAAACTTAATAAGGTTAAAACATTTTCTGTATATCTACAATCCTTAGGCTTACTCACCCACCAATTCCAACTAAAAGTGTCTTCATTTTACTTCAAAAAATACTGATGTGCGTCACTAGTTATAAGGCAGAATTACACAATGAGCGGTTTATTTTACGTATGTGATTTTTCAGGTCTCTCTTATAAATGAGTCCCCGGAACTCAATGGGACTAACCTGTAAAAATAAAGTCTGAATGAAAAAAAGAAGGGAAAAAATGGTACTTTCTCGCGCAAAAAAACAAACAAACAGGCGTATTCTTTTGTTTCCGCTAAAGGATGCATGTGATTCGCTGACAGTGTGTCATGTGGATCAAGTCCCGCCCACTGAGTGGGACGAACGGCGCGCATGCTTAGTAAGAGATGAAATGAGAAAGTAGATGGACGAGATCATGAGATTCTGAGCCGCCATATGTAAAGGACTTTTTTTTTTTAAATCTTTATTGAAAAAGTACAAAACAATACAATAAAATGCAGTATACAGTAATGATATAACAGACGCCAGGGGGTTACAAACACTGAGACAATAATTTACAATAACATATTACATAAATATATTGAAGAGAGCACATAAGGTGCAAGTTTTTATGGCCTTCGTGTTGGTGGAGTATTTAATAGTTTTGATGTATTGTTTGACCTCCTTTTCAAAAATGGAGATAAGAGGTTTTTGATTAGTGTATCGACATTTATGAATATGCCATTTGGCTAGGTATATAATGAGATTAATAATATAGAACTGTTTTTCTTTAGCTGCAGGGTAGTCAATGAAGCCAAACAAAACATGTTCAAAGCAAAGTAAAAGATCTGGTTCTATAAAAGTAGAAATCAAAATACAAATACTTTTCCAAAATTGAGTCGAGAAGGGGCAAGACCAAAATAAATGAAAGACATCTTCTGGGTTTTCATCACAAAAAGAGCAAATTATATTTATATCCTTGTTAAACCGTTGTAAATAAACTTTGGATGGGTAAAATCTATGAATAATCTTGAATGATACTTCTCTTACTTTATTATTTACCATGTATCTGGTTGGTAAAGTCCAAATGCTTTTCCAGTTAAGGTTATTAATAAAGGTGTTCCAATAAGGTGCCACATATGGAGTTGACACAACATCTTTCTGAAATAGTGAACGGATACGACGGTTGCTGTTATGGGTTGAGGAGAAGCAGATTTGACCAATTTCAAGTTTGGTTGGATCAAAGGGTAATAACAGTGTTGGATTCTGTCCTGCTGTACTTCTATGTAAAATAATTACTCCACTAGGGATTGCTTTTACTACAATATTAAATTTGTTAATAGGGATCATAATGCTATATTTTATGACAAATTCTTGATATGACATTAATGATCCATCAGTGTTGAGCAACTGATGAACTAAAGCTATGTTGTGAATAAACCAATTAGGGTAAAATAAGGATTTGTTTTTATGCAAGATGTCTCTATTGTTCCAAATTTAATATCTTTGTGGAGAGAAATGATGTTTGTAAATCAATGACCAAGAGAGAAGCATCTGTTTATGAAAACTGGATAGTTTTGAGGGAACTTTTTCAGCATTATAATTGCAAAATAGAACAAACTTTAGGCCTCCTAATTTAGAGAAAATAAAGTTTGGTATGAAGTTCCAAACTGAAGATGGGTTCTTTATAAACTGTTTTAGCCAATTTATTTTAAATGTGTTATTTAAGGTATAAAAGTCCAAAAAGTTGAGGCCACCCTTATCATAAGAGTTCATAATTACAGATTTTTTAATATAGTGTTTTTTATTCTTCCAAATGAAGTTAAACAGCATCTTGCCAATATCTTTACAGACCTTTTTATTAACGTCAAGCGACAGGGCAGCGTATGTAAGGCGGGACATTCCCTCAGCTCTGGTTAGCAGAACTCTTCCTCTCAATGATAAATCTCTTTGCTGCCATTGATTCAGTTTTTTTTTTTGGGTCTTGTCAATAATGGGGTTAAAATTCAAACGACATCTGGATTTTCCATCTTTAGTAATAATGATTCCTAAGTAAGTAATGGATTCTTTTACAGGTATGCTGCAGCTAGACAGACTATCACTGTCTTTAAGAGCAAGCAGTTCACATTTTTTTATATTCAGGCATGTAAAAGACCTTTGTGTTGCAAAGTGGGCGTTCTTGAATACTGAAAAATATATATATATTTTTTCACTCATTCATTTAACCTTTATTCTTGCAGGTTAGTCACAATGAGTCATGTGGACTCATTTTGAAGAGAGACTTGTTTTAGACAGTAAAATACAACAAAGGGCAACAGGCCATAAACAAACCTAAACACAGCGAGTTTGTGTGTGTGTATAATAAAACTCATAAAATAAGAACAATTACTTTTAAGTTTGTAGCTAAAGAATAAAAACAAAGCCCGTTGTCACCTTCCAGGGGTACTGATGCTTCTAAATACCTTAACTTAGTTTAAAAAGAAGTGAATTCAACCATTCAACCTTTATTTAAACAGGTTAGTCCCGTTGAGTCTCTGGGACTCATTTACAAGAGAGACCTGAATGGTATACACTTCTCAATGAAGTTCTCATTTCAGCAGTTCATAGACGTTTTATATATCCCGGACTAAATATTAACAACAATAATATTCCACTGTCAACCACAAATGTGTTTGTTAAATAAATAAAAACACACACACACAACAAACATTAATAGATGTAAGTATAAAGCTGACACACAATAGGCAAAGTGATCAAATTATCTATCTATCTATCTATCTATCTATCTATCTATCTATCTATCTAT